TGGCGACTCGGACGGCGGTGGCGAGGCCGGAGAGGCGCGGCGCCAGGAGAGCTCGGGAGGCGGCGCCGGGGGCCGGGCTGGGCTGGGAGCTGCCGAGGGTGCGCGCCGGCGGCCCAGCCCATTGGCCTCGCCGCGGTGACGAGCCGCCTTGGGGACGGGCACAGCGCCCGGGAGGGGGGCGGCCGGATGGCTGGAGCGGGGCACCCGCGGCGGGGGCAGGGCGGGCGCGCCCCGGCATGCCCGGCTCCCAGGTAGCCCTCACGGGCCTCAGTTTACCTGGTGCGCACAACCCCCGCTCCCCACACACAGGGGCGAGCTGGGTCTGCCCTTCACCGGGTGCTCTCTCTCGGCAACTTGGGGCTGAAAAGTTACGAGGAGACAGAAAAAGAGCTCAGGGATGAGGCGCTCCACAGGCAGTGGGGGAGGGCCTTTCTGGAAAGGAGCCGGTGCCCAGGTTGGGGGACCCCCACTGGGACCCTGAGCAGCGGGGCGGCCTAGCAGAGAGGAGCGAGCAGACCCACGGTTAGGTGACATTGAGCAGAAACAAGCAGAACGCCATCATTCGAATCCATCCAAGTCTTTAGAAGGTCCTTCTGGGAGGGAGGCATTCAGACACCCACAGAATCTGTCCCAAAGGTGACCCAAGTGGAAACGGGCGTGGAGAGGAACAAGGAGGCTGCCCCTGAGGGGGGTATGTCTTGTCTGCATCTTTCACCACGTGCTTATATTATAGCAGAATCTTTTTTCTATTAAATACAAGATCGCCTTTGAGCCACACTAAGAGGGTTTGTTGGACCCCTTGGGACAGATATCCATGTAATCACCCTCAAGAGGGGCGGGGCGACCCCTGGCGTGCTGTCTGCCTGCATGGCAAAGGCCCTCACGGGGCATCGGGGCATCGTATGTTCCGTGTGCCTGGGACACAGAGGGTGCAGTGAGCGCAGAGCCAGGAAGAGATCCCCACCGCCAGCCCAGCCCAGCCGCAAAGTGCGTTCCTGGGGTATGGGGGGGGGGGGTGTCACCCACCATCCTGGTTTTGCACTCTTTACGTGTTTGTGCATTACTTTCTCAGCAGTTTAAAAGTTAAAGCCAAATATTTTTACCCCTCTTCCTGAGGTCACAGTTGATAATAACAGCAACAAAGCACTTCTGATATGAAACACAATATAAATGAAGGATTGTAGGGAAAACAACGAATGTGAATGAAACAATGAAAATGAACTATTGTAGGAAATTTTTAAAAACATTTTAATAGTTGAAGAAAAAGGTTGCCCTGAGGTGTGTGAATCTGGTCAACATCCAAAGGCTGACTGGAATCACAGGTGAGGGTCAGCAAGTCCAGGGGCTGAAACAGGAGAAAAATGTTTGGGTTCCCATGTTGGCTCGGGAGACTGCATCATCTCACAAGAGGGACCCAAAATTCACCCCCTGGAATTCCCAGGGGGTGGGGGAGTGGAGAAGTGTTGGGGGGTTGTCAGCTCCTATGATGGGACACTCTTAAGTGAGTGGATGCCTGGGCTGTGATTAGAACAGACTGAGGAGAGGAGGAAGTAAGAGAATTACTTAGCAAGGCAGATCTCCAAATAACTATCTCAGACTGGAGGAGGGGGGGCTTGGAGCGCGATGAGGATGGGAGATCTCCTCCCGCTTAGATTGTGAGCCTCAAACCCACTGAGTTAGCATCACCTGCGTGGCTGTGAGCTTGGCTTTGATTGTGAGGAGCAGAGAATGGAGGGAATTCTGGTTGCTTAGAGGTAAGGAGTTGTGCTTCTGACCCAAAGGCAGGCGAATTGAATCTACCAGCTGCTCCAAGGGAGAAAGATGGGCAGTCTAATTTACTGCCTCTGAAAACCCATTGGAAGGTCAGCTACACCTCAGCTCCCACTCAATGGTATACACCAGCAAGTGAATGGAGTTCCTGGGTGATGCAGTCAGATTCTACAGCAAAAGGAAGAGCTGGCAATCTATTTCAGAAAGTTCATAGTCACTGACATGCCTGGGGAGTTCTCCCCTGAAACACCTGGGTGTGCACTAGTCGTGCGTCCAGGGCAGGCTGATTAAGAACCAGTTCTCTGCTTTTAGTCCTTGTTAGGAGCCGCTGACTCGCTCAGACTCTCCACAAACCCAGGCACAACCGAACAAACCCCTGCCCGGTGCTGCACCATCCTTGAGATCCTTCCTGTGCCCACCCACTGTGGCAGTCACTGTCTATCTATCTTATCTGGGTCCTTCCACTCATTCACTGACCATCCACTTTTCCAAACATGATGCCATTTTCCAAGGACTGGTCCATCCTGAAAACATGCTCAAAGTCTATCTTACAATCTGTGCGTCAGGGTGCCCTGTGCGTTTTGGTTCTTGCTGAGTGTGGCTGAGTCAGAACCAACCCACAGCTGACCCTCCAGCAGGTTTTCAGAAGCAGCTAATTGCACGGGAGGATATTGCCCATTCTCTCATGGGGCAGCTGGCGGATTCGAACCCCACGCATCTGGGATTGCCACGCAGGTTCTCACAACTAGGCCACCAGAACTTCCGACTTGAGCGTGGCCTAGCTGATTAAAGCCCAGGTGGAGCCACAGATCACCTGGCCTCTGGGGGGGCGCCCAGCTTCATGTCTGAAGAAGAGTCCCTGAGATGCCCCAGGACCTGCCCCCTGTTCTCTATCCATCACCAAACATACAAGCAACTCCGTGCAGAGCAGCTCGCTCTTTCCTTTTCAAGGGCTCTGCCTTTGCTCACACTGCCCTAGAATGAGTCCTGCTGATGGAGTCGGCAGCAAGCTGTGCTAACTCAGAGGCTTCACTTCTCTGGAAAATGGGGGTGACTTCAAGAACATCCCCCAGGGTCACAGAGGGGATCACTTCAGACCTCTGTACGGAGTTCACCCACAGGTCTCACAATCCATCAAGACAGCCAGCAGCTCAATGGGGGGCCTTCAACCAGCTCTTGACCATGAGTTAGAGAAGTCTTCCGGGCAGGACCGAGGGAGCTCTGGACAGTCAGTCCCGAGGGTGTCCTGTGTGCTGAGAGGACGGCCGGTCCCGTGATAGTTAAAGAATTCGGCTGTGAACCAGAAGGTGGGCTCTGAACCCACCAGCGGATATACTTCTGCAGTGAGCACGGCCTCGGCCTCGGTGCAGGCAGTTCGCTGTCCTCCAGGGTTCCAGCAACTCAGAACCAACAAGGGGTCAGGTTTTGGATTCGTTATAATGAACGGTTCCATATGTAGAAGCGGTATTTCAGGTCTGGAAGGTTTGCTTTTCTTCTCTTTCAGATGCATCCTTCTACGATACCGATTGTAAACACAGTTTCTGAGAAGGTGTATATATTTACGTGGTTGGTATGTGCTATCAAGTTCATTCCTACTCACAGATCGCCTGCAGGGCAGAGTAGAACTTCCCCAGGGTCCTCCAGGCTATAAGCCTTCCAGAAGCCCAAGTTCCTTCCTCTCATAGAGCGGCTGGGAGTTTGAAGCTGCTGGTGTTTTGATAACTGGGTACTAGACATTAGTGTTCAGTGTTTTTGGTGCAAATTAAGGTGCTTGGTTTGGAGGGCCGAGTGTGTGCTGGCAGCTGAGTGTAAAGCTATTGCATCATCAAGGGTAATTACCATTATCATTTACATCGTAAAATCCAATTTCTCACTCACCAGGGCTTGGCATGGGTTCTTGGGAAAGTTTTCTGGAGAAACGGGGCAGTTCTGAGACACACAGGCTGTCTCCCGACTCCTCTCTGTGGCTCTAATTTGTAAGGTTGAGATTTCATTCCGAGCACAGTAAAGTCTATTCATGAGTGGACAATGGAGCGCCGTGGGTGCCAAGGCTGCCGTCCGGAAATGAGCCTTCCAAACGCGAACAGAGCCGCCATGCCTGTGCATCTCACTAGGGCAAAGATCTCCCAGTGACAGAACACATGCAGGGTGATAGAAGGGACGTCACGGAGGGGCAGGAATTGGAGAAGTTAAGCCCCTGTAGCCACGGCCATCAATTCCAACTCACAGTGACTTTGGACAGACTAGAACTGCCCTTGTAAAGGCTGAGCTTGACCTCCTCTAACTTCATAAGGGAGAATGGGCCCCACTGCCAACATCTGCTGTATAAAACCAATTCCTGTGAGGCTAGACATGTCCCCATGTCCCCACAGCAGCCCCACAACTTCTATCAATCCCAACAGCAGCCACCTTCCCAGGGCCCTCGGTGCTCTAACTACAGGGTCTGATAATCACTGCAGTGGTCACATAAAACTCACACAGCCGTGTTCCTGTTTATCAGGACAATTAGGGAAACTAACACGTTACCATTTAGGTTGCAAACAGGCTGTAACTCCTCAGGACAGCATCTCAAGCATCATTATTCACATGAGCAAAGAGACAGAAGCAGCCCGCCTGCCTGCCAGAGAATGAATGGACAGAAAAACTGATGCATCCACACAATGGAATATTATCCAGCACTGACAAGCAATGGGCTTGTAAAACACTGCACAGCATGGACGAGTCTGGAAGATACCTTGATGAGGGGAATATCTCAGTTGCAAAAGGACAAATACTGTGTAAGACTGTCATAAAAATAGAATGGACACGGGAGCACTCAGTGGAACAGGAGACAGGAGGACTCTGAAAGGAATGGGCGCTTAAGACATTATACGAATGGCATTTTGGAACAATTTGTGCATTTCAAAGTAAACTGCGGAAGGAAGAGGGAGGAAAATGTGTATCAGTGAAAGGAATGAAAATCCATCCTTTCTGTAAACTTTCACTAAAATCCCAATTATAAAAAAATCTAAAGAAGGCGTGTCGTCACCGGCCGTCTCCTTCCAGCGTCAGGCTTTAGGACGGTGTTACGAAGCTCCTGGAGTTCCGCCAATCTCCTCAACCCCAGTCCTCCAAGTGCAGACAAAGACCTCTGTCTCTGCGGGACAGCAGTTCCGAGGCGGCTCCGCTGCGTGTTGGTCTCTGACGCTGCGATTGCTGCCGTCGTCTGGGTCCCAGCCTACACTGCACACAATCTCTGGCTCTGAAGGGCACTACATGCCTTTGGTATTGCAGTGCAGCTTCTTACCACTAGGTCACCCGAGTTCCCCATGTCTTCGGCTACAAACCCTGCTCAATTTAAACCCACTGGGATGGCAAATGTGACCGAGTCCATTGTGAGTCATTTATACACAATACTTACATGTTGCCCCCAAGATATGCAAGGAAAGTCAAAGCTAATGGCCTAGGAAAATCCTTTTACAGAATCAA